TATATACACATATTATTTATGTATATAGTATATATACTATACAGTATAGTATACTATTCTGTATAGTTTGATGAAGAAAACTGCCTTATGTAGGAGTGTTTTCCCTAATATAGAGACATGGGATGATATATGTACAAAGGCTGCATCCGTCTCAGGCCTCTGAGATGTGCAGTTCCTTAGGGTGAAGGAGGAACCTCAGCTGCCAGCTCAGGTGAGTGGTATGCAGAGCGTGGCAGATCATGCCATCAGCTCTCAGACCGACAGTGCTGCACAGAGAACTTTACTGTGAAAATATTTTCAAGTTTGTTCTCGGCTTCCTCTGTGCATCCTCCCTCACTAGCTCCGTGCCAGTGCTTCAGGGTTCTTTGGGAGGTTGCACAACAGGACAAGATCCTGAGGGTTGCTGGATTTAGACTGTCAAATGGTTTGCTATATGGCAAATGGTTTGCTATGGCTCTGATACGGCTTGCTATTTTGCAAGTCCTTTGTGCCAAACAACATTGCAAGAAGATACATACCCTCAGTTTGAGACGTAGGTCACACTTGAATGCACCAGGCCTTAAAGCCATGTGACTGAGACCAAAGGTACGCTTTGAACAGCTTCTTGTGACCCAGTACTTGACCTGTGCCAGCTTTAATACCGCTCACCTAGGAACATTTGGCAAAGCTTCATGGTTTTCCACAAGCACATGCCTTCCCAACACTAGGAACCCAGCACCGTACAAGAAGTTCACACGCTCCCCAGACTCTAGCTATACAAACCTCCTCTATTTGCTGCTCAAGCTCCGTGACATTGGGAAACAGCTGATCGTGAATTCTGGGCTCTTCCACTGCTTTCTTCACATCATAACCAAACCAGATGGAATTCATTATCGTCTATGAGAAGCAAAAAGCCTTAACATTAGTTATGTGTCTTCAAAGAGGCCTGACCCTTGTAGCAACATAGGCAGAGATATCTGAAGGATGTTCACCAGAGCACAGAGAAGGCACAGTTTCTGGTGTCTGCTGCTTTCAGCAGTTCTTCTCTTGGCTAAGCAGAACACAGATACATTGCAGCAGTCAGCTGGTATATGCTTTGGAGGATTCCCACACAAAGAGACCATGAGTTACTAAACTTAACCTAGTAGAAGGATGAGATCCTCAAGATATTGTAGCTGGATTTATGCCGCTGTGATGAAGCTAGCACTGGCTTAGACACACAGCAGACACCTCAGCAAACACACAGCTACAGCTTCCTGCTACTGTGCCACAGGTTGCCTCAAACCTGACTCATCTCTACATGCTTAAATTGCAGGTTGGAGCTGCTGGAAAGTGAAAATAGCCTCAAGATCAAGGGCTTGTAGCAGTTTTTACAGAGACTTCTCTATCTCAGCCAGAAAGTGAGATCCAGCCTGGTGCTCTGAACTGCTATGTGTGCTGGCACAGGAGGCAGCTTTCTCCTGCAATCACTTTTGGGCTAGTGGGGCATTTGAGTGGCTGCTACAGCAGCTCACAGAGAGCCTGCCTGTCAGAAGGCCTGCCACCATGCCTGGCCTACGTTCTTCTATACCTTCTCTCTGTGACTTCCATCCAAAGTTTAGGATGTTGGATGGGAGTGGCTTTAAACTAGAAAAAGAGACTAGCTCATGGAAATCCAGAGAACAGAAGGCAAAGTTAAACTCAAGTCACAAATCTTCTGCAAGTGGTAAGAACAACTTGCCAAAGGAAAAGACCTGGAGTCTCTGAAGGAAATAATTTAATAGCAGACCCTTTGTAGCTATGCCAGGAGTTGGCATTGGAGGTCTGGTTCTCAGAAGACCAGGCAGGAACCTCCCTTTCAGGCCCTCGACCCACAGCAGGGATCCATAGCCATGATCACATCACAGGGGGAGACTTGAGCCCCTTACGCCAAACGTTGTCTCTCCCCTGCCTTGTTTTGCCTCACCCCATTTTGCCCATATCATCACGTACCAGTGCTGTTGCTGTAGTTATTTTTGTTCCTCCGGAAGCACCAACCACCATTCTGACCTTTTTCGTTTTATCCACCAAGATGGAGGGGCACATAGAAGACACCGGCTGTTTACCTGTTGGGGACGCACATGCAACAGAGGCTCAGCTTTCCTCCTGCAGCTTACGAACTGCCGGCTCCTGCCCCATGTCTAAAGCCAGAGCCTCAGTATCCATCCTTCTGAGTCAGCTCACACATCTTGTCCAGCCCTCGGGGATCCCACTATCCTCTGTACCCATCTCCTTCTTGCTCCTGCACTGCAAAGCTTAACCCTGGTCCTTCACACAGAGGCTGAAGATGCCTTCCTCCACAGTTCTGTCCCAGCTGGGGTAATCTGTGATGCAGCTACCTCCAGTACACCATGGGACTTTCCTTCCTGTCCTTTCACTTCCTCGTCCCTCTCCAAAGTGTGGGGTACAGGAGGGCAGCATAATCCCAGCCTGCCTTAGCAGCCATGAGACGGGTCTGCAGGAAACAGTGTTGGAGTAGGCAGGCTGCTTGGGTCAGGTACTTGAACTGGATCTATCCCAAGCTGCTCTACAGCTCCCAAGGCAGCACAGGGAGGCGGCTGGGCAGGGCCAACTCACATTTTGCAGTCAGCTCCTGCTGCTGCCTCCCTGTTCAATCAGTTCAAAGAAATCTTTTGCAGCCCTGAGTCATTCCATTTGACATGTACTGAGCTCCCTGGGAAAGGATTTCTAGTTGTTGGAAGGAGGCATACACAGAGTTTTTCTTCAGACAGCCTCTCCTCCTTCAGGCTGGTTGCGTGCTTTTGGCAGGGATGCCAGGTGACTCGCTTTCATCTCTCTCCTCTGCAGAAAGCCCCAGATCTGTGCCTGATGGCAGACATGCTGCAGCCTACCTTGCAGACACCACAGCGTGAGTATGCAAGATACAGCCAAAAGACTGAGTCAGGAATGTGGTTTACAGCTACCTGGAGCTATGAAATTCGCTGGTGAAGGAGGGATCCCAAATCCATTGATTATGTAAGGTGAGCTGAAGTCATCCATCTCATCGTTAAATATGATTCCACTCACATTGGATCGTACATCAGAGCCGAAGCTAGAGAAAACAAGTTGGTGCAGACATGTCAAAACCAGAGCAAATCCAGGAGGAGCTTCAGGTGAATAGCTGCAATGTGAAACCTGAGATTTGACTGCAGTAACTCTCCACTCCCTCCTCTTGTAAAGGACATTGTCACCCCTTGGGGGAAGGAAGGAGTTTATACGATGAGTACACAGCTACACAAGGAGGAAAGGCAGCCCAGAGCCCTGCTGTACAGCAACCCTGCAAGGACCCCGAGGGGAAAAACAGCACCACAGCTAAATACAACTAATTCCCTTTCCAGCCAGGCAGTACTGCACTTCCTTCAGAGGCAGCATAGCTCAAGGCTGGCACACTTGGGAATGATTGGGGTTTTGCCTACATGTGTCAAGCTAAAGACATTTTCCATGGACAAAAAGAACCTTCACCCCCTAGCTTCAGGCCATATGCATGGAACACAGCTCTTCCTGATAGCACTCAAAGCCAAACGCTGCACTGCCAGGCCAGCTGTGTCAGCTCAAATTCCTTCCAGAAGCCTGGGAAATCAGAGCCAGCAGCGATATCACTGCTTATGAGAAGATCCAGATGCAGTGAATGTTTTCTTGGTGGGTGAACTCAACATGACAAAAGGACACATCATGTCCTCTGACCCAACCACACAGGCCTCAGTGTTAAGAACTGACCTGCAAGCTCAGCAGAAGTGCCCATCAACAGTGCTACTCATCACTAACCCACCAGAGAGATGACAGTTCAGTGATGTTTTATACCCACCACAGAACCACCACTAGGAAGATGGCAAAGGCCTATATGGAAGTAATGTCTGAGCTCATACTATTGGTTGATGGTGCTGGTGGCGGACACAGCACTGCCATCATCAGCCACAATGGAGAGGTGGGATGTACCGGCATTATCTCCAGTGTAATATATTGGCTCATAGTAGTCAACTGGATGGGAGGTGTTGTCTGTGATTTTCCTCCGGAGACTATCCGCAAAGAACTCGGACGTCATGTTTCCAATCGCCTGTCAGAGAAATCCAATGCAGTTACTCAGCAGATTAAGTTTAAGAGATGTGTAGTTATGAGGCTGTTATCCAATACTTCAGATCACAGAAGAGTGGCAAATCCCAGCAGTGAGGCTACAGTTTTCCAGCAGGGGCTTTCCTCCTTCTTGAAAGTTGGACATTGTACCAAAGAGTATTCTAAGCAGTCACAGAAGCAGCTGTTATAACGCACCACTTTGTGTAGGAAGTTAATTAGCATCCATTACTGTAGATCTATGGAAAGCTGTCCTCAACACTGCTGTAAGGCGGAGGCAAGCGGTGTTACGCTTGCTTCCGAGATGAGAGGAAAGGGATCGGGTTGAGAGGACCAGCCCAAGGCAAGCTCTGATCATTGCTCTGCAAGTCGCAAATTTGCGTCCATCAAGCTGAGCTGGGCTCAGATCCTGCTGCTTTTGCAGAGTCACAGAAGTAAAAGCACAAAGTATGAAGCTGGGAAAAGCAGAATTCCTGCCTCAACCCTTTCCCATCCGTTGGTCCATTTACTATAGGCAGGACTGTGGTTAAAGAGCCACAAGTATGCTGGGAATGTCGTCTAGTGAATAAGGCTCCAAACACTATGAAAACAGAGAGGATTAGCCCTAAATATACTCAGACACTCCTGGTGAATTAAGGATTTTGTTTTTGCTTACAGCAGTAAGGTTTCCTCCATTTATATCCTTCACAGCTCAGCCATGAGTCCCATAGGACTTCACATTTTGATTGAGAGATATTTCAGTGCCTGTCAATAGCAGGTGGCACAGAGCATTTCTGACAAAGTCTAGTCACCCAAAAGCTTTAAGCCACGTTCCAGTCAACCTTGGTGTTGCAGAAAGAAAAGGCTTTTGCCAGGTACCTCTGTAATGTTGACAAATTTCGGATCTCCCAGTAAAGTCCTCTTGGCGTAGGCAAAGCGAAAGGCCTCCACAATGCGGTGGTAAGTCAGACCTTTCTCCTCTATGGTTTTGATGCTGTCAGCAGAGAAGTTATATCCTGGCAACAGAAGACAAACGATTTGAACATAAAGGAAAGTGCATGGCAAATGGCCTGCTGATAAACCTGTGTCAAATGGTATCATCTTGAAGCCCAGCCTCTACAAAGATGCAGTCACTGGACCATCCTAATCTCCACGTGGAGAATAGCAGAGCTCTGGCAGTTTTGAGCACTGTGGGAGTCACCAGCAGGATTTGTACTTGCAGAGATGTTTTCCAAAGAAGCCTCAAGCACAAGTTAGTTTCCACCCAATGCACGTATCAGGGAGGTGCACCAATCAAGAGCATGTTTTCCCTCTTGCACCTGTATTTCAAGTAGGAAGGCGACATGCCTGAGTTTACAGCAGGAGTGTTTCCACATCTCTGATCCCTCCTGGGGTCTCAGACTTCTCACCTGCTGGGGTCTACTGAGGGAGACCCAGCTCCCAAAACAAAAAGCGTGCTGTCTTTGGAGCTCTCTAGCTCCTGCTGCCTGTGAGGCACTGCTCAGTGGAACTCTCACCTTTCAGTATGTTGAAAATGAGGGCTAGCACTGGGCCACTTAGGGGGGCACTAGGCGTGTAGAGGGTAAACTCCCCAAGTGTGACCTCTATGGGGTCTTCAATCACTGTTGCATTGTAGTCCTGCAGGTCATCCAATGTGATAATGCCCCCTGGAAAAGAGAAGGAAACTATAGGTGTGGGTTTATGTGATCTCTGGTGGAAAGAGGAGGTAATAATCCACTGCACCATGCAAGGACAGGAAGGAACACAGACAAATCCAAAAAGTTGCAAGCTAAAGAAAGCAAAGATGGGTGCACAGGAGATGAATTTATTCCTTGATAGACTCCTGAGGCTTAGAGAGCCTAAACTTGAAGTTGGGCTGATTTACAGCAGCCAGAAGTCTGGTGATCCATCTTTTTTACAAAGGACACCAGCAATGTCAGGTAACAAAACGTTGTTAAGAGTCCTGTTTACAGGAGGAGGATGCAGCTTTTGGGTGCAGATGCTTTGTGCTACCCCATAAGCAGAATAATTCGTATGTTCCATTGCCTTTCTCATCAGAAGGGGGAAGACAGTAATTAACCATCACAAATAAAGCCAGTAAATGACTTACAAGAGGTTGACTGAAGCCGGCCGATGCTAACTAGTAAGGCTAGGATACTACCACCATCTAGTGGCATCGAGAGATTAAACAAGCTCAGTTTACAGGACCGTGTACGTCATGTTTTAGGTAGAAACTTGTTGCATTCAAGCTCTGTAAACAGCATGTATCTACTAAGCTATATCCAGAAACGCTATATATACAGACTTGCTATGGTATACGGTACAGAAATGTACAGCATATACTATCCATTTCTGACTGAATTTAAAATGCATCCAATAAAGCACTAATGGCTTCTCTTGGGTGTGCTGTTGCCACAGATCTCAGAGGCAGCATTTCAGGCAGCAGGCTTGACCCACTTCCCAGGCTTCTGCAGGTCACCAGCTCCTCTCTGGATGCTGAGCTGCAGCAGCCAGGTCACTTATGCTGTTTTGGACAGATGTGCTGCTTCTCACCTACACTGTGGATGTCATCGATGATCTGTTTGGCCAGGCTTCCTGTGTAAAAGGCATCTGCTCCTTCACTGGCGATAGTCTCGTATGTGTTGGCTAGTTTAGGCATCTTGACGATATCGCCCTCCTGCAGAATTTTCCCTCCACTGCAGAACACTTCGCTAGCAGAGAAAGGAAATTGAGAAGATCACATCTGAGACACAAGTTCAAAACGATGTGTACCTGTACCAGCTGACATAGTATTTGAGTGTTCAGGCTAGAGGCTTCTTGGAGAGATGAGAAACTGCCTGAGTCATGCCCCAGGGGTCCAGATATCTTGCACTGGGACATAAAAGTGAACAGTGGTTTCTGACCTGGGATTCCACATCGCTTAGAATTTGCTCAGCGAAGCCTGCAGGAGGGAGTGTTGATCTTTTTCACGCAGGCAAGCCACCCTCCCTACCTGCCCAAGAGGGCCTCAAGATGCCCAGGAGGGGCCATAGTCCTTGAACTCAAGCAGTTCAGTTCAGAGCACAGACTATGAAGCTATGAGGCTCGAAGCTTCCAGTGAGCCCAGGAGAATGCGTTTTAATCCTTGTTTGTCAGAGTACTTAGAGGTAGAGAGTTTCCTCTCTAGCTCCCTCATCGTGGATCATGAATGCGCAGCTGTGGACCTGCCAGAAGGACTGCTCAGGCTGTACATCCCAATTGGATTGGAAACCAACCTGCAGCTGGCAGAGATTTTAAGGAAAAGAAAGGATTAAGCATGATCTCGAGTAGGGCTGGACATAGACACTAAGGGTTTGACTGTAAGAAGAAGTGGAGGAGCATTTAAAACCCTTCATGTTCACAGTCATTGCCAGAAATGGATGGTCAAAGGCATTGCCTGAGGAAGGCTGACTGCAGAGTAAGAGATGACCCAAATTCCCATTGCCTGACAGCAGATGAGGTGTTCAAGGAGACTCTGCAGTTGTCCCAAATGCAGGTAGGATTAGCTTGGTGCACTTACAGCATGAGGAAAAGCTGGGGATTCAGAAAATACATTGCCATCTGACAGATTTATCCCAGAATGTACTCTGTTTCCACCTTTGCTCAGCCAAATGGACTTTAAGAGCAGAATTTATGTTCATTCCTGACCCTTTAAAGGTCAGGAATGAACATTCCTAAAATTGGCCACATGATTTAGCACCTTCAGGTAGCTGAAGTAATATCAGCAGGTACAGTGAGTGCAGGCGCTGGAGGGGAGGCACACTCCTCACAGACACTACATTACACAAATACAGACACACTTCAGCTAGGATGCAGTTACACCAAATTTCTCTGTGCAGAACAGCAGATGCTCTACTTACCACAGTGAGGGATTGCTTTCAATAGCCTCCTCTCTTGATCTGATGGCTGCTGCAAGGCCTTTCCCAATAGGGAATCCTTCTCTTGCCAACTTGATGCTGGGCAGAAACAGGTCTTTCCATGCCAGTTTGCCATGACGTTTGTGAGCCAGTTCATACCCACGGATTTCTCCTGGAACAGCAATGGACAGTCCTCCTGGAGCAGATAAGGAATGTATTAGTCTTCCATAGTAAGAAAAGAAAGCGATTAACGGAGTAGGAGGTACAGCAGGCTTCTCTGCTAGCCCTGTTTTTAGGCAGGGATTATGTACACTATGACCAGCCCAGCTTATGTGTATGATGCTAACAGAAATTCCATCTGACGTTTATGCCTACGCATTCTAGACTGCTGAAAGACCTCTGTCCTCTTGCTGGTAACTCGAGTTTTTGGGTTGTTTCCCCTCAGTGTGCTCTGCACCAGAGAGAAGCTGCTCGGAACACAGAAGGTATCATAGCTGCCTGCGGTTTCCAGTTCTTCAGAGAACAACCCGCCACAATAAAAGGACACAGGCTGTGTGCATACTTAAGCCAAAAACTTTGTTGCAGCATTGTAACTACATTGCAATAGATTGATTACTACGTTGCGCAGTGATGTAGCAGTTCACTTCAGCTCTGGTTTTATTGGCATCTCCCAGAAGTTCAACACACTTCTCAAACCTCCTCCAAGGTGCTGTTCCTCCTTGGTTACAGGAGCAACCATGAAGAGGACTAGTTAGTATTTCTTGCTATTTTTGATTAGAAAATACTTTCCCCAAAGGAAATTACAACTTCTTCTCTGGAGTCCCTGAACCATTAGTTGAAGCCACCACAAAAGGTATTTAGGGAGAACATTTGAACTGACAAGATCTAAGTTGATTCACAAAGATTTATTCAAAGAGGTGGAAAGGAAAGATGGCAGATATGGAACAGGTCATACTCAGTGCTTTGGATTCACCTGTATTTTCATGAACCGAAAAGCAGAAAGCGCTGAGGTGACTGACCAGTTTGAGGGACATTAGTTTTAGCTTCCTCGTCAGGAGTAAGTTTGCAGATTGTGTAAAGTAGAGGACATTTCTAGGTGAGAAATCCTGTAGATATGCAAAAACCTAACCATAAGAAATATTCTTAATTTAGGCATGTCAATAGCAGCTAATGTGGACCCCCTCAGGAGCTATGTGGTCCCCTCAAAGCAGTGAAACAGCTTTTGCCATACCTTTCAGAGACAGCTGTGTGTCGTTCCCAAACATGTCCTCAGATGCTTTTTTCGGAGCCACTTCTCTTGCATTAATGATTTCCACATTTCCTTTAACGACAGGCAAGGAAGATGATGTTTAGCTCTGGACTTAACACACAGGCATGGTCTCTGCCGAAGAAGCCTGATCAATGTAAGCCAATTTCTTGGCAATCATTTTGAGGACAGCGCGTTCCCCCAGAGGCTGAGAGAGTCAGTCTTTTACCTTCACTCAGGTAGGACAAATCACCTGCTTTACATAAACAGTTCTCAAGCTGTTCCAGATTTGTATGGCCCTGTCCCTTACCTGTGCTGTTGTAGATGGTAAAGAAGAGGCCCCCTCCAATGCCCATGCTGTGGGCATTCATGAGTCCTACACAAAGCAGAGCTGCAATTGCTGCATCCACTGCTGATCCACCTTGCTGAAGGATGTCCCTGTGCAGCAGAAGAGAAGGCATCATATGGTGACATGTTACAATGTCTCAGCTACCTGTGAGCAATGGATTCATCTTGTCAGAGCAGGTATGACAGATTCTCTAAGGCACGTTTGTCCACACCCAGTCTCTAGGTTCCTCAGGAATAGGAAGTTTTGAGCTTCTGTCACCTAAGAGAACAGGTACTAATGGTCTAGGTGCAGACCAGATCAGCCCCCATTAGAGACACATCCAAACTAGCTTGAAAACACCGAGATGTGTCAAAGTTTGTGTCGGGACAGGCATCCCAGACACAATCGTTACATATGAGAAATGACAACTCTGACGAGCCTGAAATCTGCAGCACTTGCATCTAGAACTGGAGGGCAGCTTGGTAAGTGGTTTTTAAAAGAAGCTTGAAAAGCATCTCTTGTTCCCATTGTCCATGCATTTAGGGAATCTTTGCCTGCTACGTTGTCTTTGAGCAACTATGGCAACATTGGTCAGGCATGGTGAAAGCCCAGGTTTTATTACGGCCTCCTCTTCCTACAGGGAGATTAGAGATCATCTGTGCTGGGCAACTGCCAGGCTTGCACCTGGGCATTGGGAAAACAGCGGTTTTGTCTTGCACAAGAGCTGTCAGAGCTAACGAGAGTCACAGCACAATTTGCAGGTACCTTCCAATTACTGAGCACTGCCCCGCGTCCGTAGCCACAGCCGCCCTCTTGTAAGTGTGTGTGTCCCCTGCACCAGTGCGCAGCCCATAGAAGAGTCCCAGGAACAGGATGAGTCCCAGCAGGGCTGCAGTCAGGACTCCAGCCACCACATAGCGCTTCTTCATCTTCCTGTGGGAAGAGACAGGATCGTCAGCCTTGCTGCTGCTGGGGCACACAGGAACTAGGGAGCAGACGATCAGGCACAAGACCAGTCTTTTCATCTACCTCCTTTCATGTCCACTGTTTCCCCCTACACCACCAGCAGACAACAGCTCTGCACATGGAAGTGCGGTTTGGGAAGGAGCGGCCAGGGGAGGTGTGAGCCCAGTTCTGGCCTTGACAGTTACATCAGGGTGACGTCTTTTTTTGAAGCGAAGCAGAATATCAAGTGCAAAGGGGATGTTCAAGATGTCCTGCTACTGCTACCTTTCAGTGGCGACAGGACAACCAATTGCTCTTTGTGACTTTATGCTTGAGGATTTTAGATGCTCAGCAAGCGTTTCAGTTACTGCTCTGCTTGGGAGGACAGGGGCCCAGTGTCAGACTGGGTTTGATCTAGTTCCCAAATCAAGTCAGCAATACCCATCAGAGACTTTTTACCGGATTCCCCTCTCCAACACATGCTGGCAGGCCCTTTGCCGCATGATGGAGTCAAGGACTGCACCCTGCCCACACCCTGTTATTGACCTCTTCCTCCCTACTTCATAGCCACGTGGTGAGGCTGTACATATGACTTATTCTTATCTTTCCAGCCCTTGATTTTTAGCAGGTTTTCTGTGAGTTGTGAGCTGTGGGCAGTGAACAGCTTTCTCCTCCCCTGAACCTCTCAGAGAGAGTCTCCCAAGTATTTCCTTACTCAGATTCATATCAAGACCTTTTCTATGGGCATTGCTGGTACCATTTCTCTATGCCCCTGCCACCTCTGTGCAGAACAACCATTCTAGCAACTTCCAAAGCTTTTACCAGCTTCCCCTTTACCATTTACTGCCATCTTATTTGCAGAGCTATCTACTTCAGTGAACACCCCAAGAACTCCTGGAACCTCTTTGGTAACATCTCTGAAGTGTTACAGTACCAGCAATGAAAAGGCCTCGAACCAGCAACCATCACTTGGGTAAGAATCTGTCTTGTAGCAGGTAGGTAACCTGATACACCATAAAAGCAGCAGTTTCATAGGTGAGAAAGAAAATCCAAGGAGCAGAACATGATTGGTGTTAGTCGTGACTCACATTGTCTTCAGAGGAAAAATTCAGAGCTTTAACTTTATACAATCTGTTTTAAATACCATGTCTTTGAAGGACTCTCTGTCCAGAAGGTTGTCAATGACCAGTGCAAAACACATCTTGGTCATTAGGGAACAACCTTGGCCAACACTATGTGGCACACCCTAGTTTGAGCACAGCATCCCCTCTTGTTCAAGGTCTTTGGTCAGAGTACCTTTCCAATGACCCTGTCGCGTCTAGAGGGTGATGGCCAGTGCTCATGTCTCCATGTTTCCCAGTCCTGCACACAGCTGCTTTTGGGGTGCACAGGGTTACTGTTCATCTGTGAGCAAGTACAGGACAGCAAGGAGCTCTCCAGCAAGTGCATTCCAGAATTACACCAGGATGAGTCAAAGGCTACTGAAGGGATGGAGAGTCACTGCCACCTTGTTGGAACCGACAGTTCATGAAATACAGCTTCTCTTTGACACGTTTCCTTACCCATTACAGGATTGTTCCAGAAAAAAAAAAAGACCTAAATTCATCATATCGCCTTCAGAGATCAACTTCCCCCTGTGCAGTGCAGCTTTGGGTTTTCACCATGACCACTGTACTTGCACGATAGCCAGGATACCCTTTACCTTACTGAAGCATCTGCCATACTGAGAGACTAGCCAATCCATGGCATTGTGGGTGAAGAGAGGATCCACCGACCCCACCCTCCGTGAATGTTCAACAGCCCAAAGCAGAGCAAACTCCAGCAGTCAGAGCAGCACTCGGTGCCTTGCAGCAGCAGCACACGCAGGATTAGGGAGCAGTGAGGGTGTCAGCACTGAGCTAGCTAGGGGAAACAGGCCAGGCCCGCCAAACCGAAACTTTTCTCAGATGGAGGAGATTAGCAAGCGCTGCCCCCTCAACCTCACTCCCACTCCTGTTATTTAAATTAGGACCTATACATCTACTATCTGAGCCCTGTATCTGTGAGTTTCAGTGAGAGCACTACAGATGTCCATCTCCAAGTAAAGCAGCTCAAACCAGGATGTAAATCTACTGTATGTGCTGTTCTGTGAACAAATGTTAACTGAGCGCAGTAAAAGGTAAATGAATGAAACCTCTTTCCAGGTTCTAGAACTTGATTTACATTCAACTACTTTTAAAAGAGACCAGTGGCTGTTTGCAGAGCAATGACTGTGCAGGGAAACAGAGAAGCCATTATGTCCCCAACAATAGCTCACACACAGCCTTGGAGTTTAAAGACAGTTTTGTTTGTTGGCAGAGAGAGTTCAGCTTCAGCACTGGCAGTCTCCTCCAGGCTTCACAAGAAATGCCATGGGATCTTTTATCTGTGCCCCAGCTAGGCAGAAGGTACTTTGTTTCATCTGAAGGCTGCTCTATGCTGGGCTGTCCTGCAAGCCTGGGGTGACTCAAGCCCCGTAGCTGCTGTGTTAACCCATAGACTCCTGGCTGGGGCTGTGCAGTTCTTCTCCAGAACTGCTTGCCTCACTGCTGGGCTCCTGTAAAGAGTTACTGACTTGTCAGGCAAGTTATTCTGAGAGCAGGAGAGGAGGAGGGGAAACCTCAGATTGTACCTCTGCTCTCATCCTTCACCTCCTCTCTGGATTCAGATGACACTTCTGAGCATCACCTAGACCAGTAAGAGCTCCACGCTGAGTGCCCAGCTGCCCACTGAGTGCACAGACCTCAAAAAGGGCCCTCCAGCCCGCTTCGTACTCCTGAGGTGCAGCTCCCAGCCCACCACCAGCCCCGGGGGACGAGGATAAGACCCGCAACCAGGAACACGCACACAGACTGCCGGGAAGGAGAGACACTGATTGCTGGGCACTGCTCCTGCGCTGCATTGTGGTACTGTGCTGCCTTCTGGGTTGGGCCTCTGGGACCCAAGTGGGGCCAGAAAAAGCGAGTGCTCTTAATAGAAGTGCATCTGTGCGATCTGTCACATTGATCCTGCCTCCAGATCTCTGCTAAATCCAGCTGTTCGGAAGCTTGGCTAGCACTTCAGTCACACTGCGCTGCTTGGCGGCAGCAGCAATAGGTCTCCAGGAGAGAGGGGCTATAAAACCATTAAAAGCAATATGATTATTTCTCACTGTTATAATGGACCAAAGGCAGTCCTAGCCATAGAATTTAAAAAGTAGCCTGACAGTCTGTCTTCAGTTATACTGGGAGAAGGAGAGGACCAGCAAGTAGCAGAGTTATGCCTGTATGAGCAACCCCATTGGGCTGTATTCAGATGTGTCACAATGTTCACAACCCGATTTAAACATGACACTGTTTTTGAATTAAAAGAACCCCAGTGCAACAGGCTAGCTAGCATCAGGCAGGGGATACCTGGTCTGACATCTCTGCCAAGAGAGGCACACTGTAGAGATGAGGAACGTGCCGTGGTCAGGGAAAGCACCAGGAGAACTGAAAGAGGAGAAAGAGATGTACCGACCAGAAAGCAGGGCAGAGAGAACAGTGGGATATCAGAGGATGACAAAGGAGTCCAGGTATGGTCAGGCACTGCCTTGTTCTTGATTACAGTAGCCAATACTTGGCCATTAGCTTTGATGTATCTGTCCTCACTTTCCCCAGGCAGCACAGGTTATGCAAGGATAAATATGATAACATGAATCTTGTCACAGGACACAGGCTGTGCTCTTCAGATAGAGCTCAAAGTCTAATCCATATCAGCAACATTGCCGTGTTTAGGTAATTAACAACAAACAGTTGAAATAATGTTTCCACACTCTACTGTTGTGTAGAGTGAACTGTCAGTGCCTTTTAAGCGAGAACGTATGTAAAGCAAACAGCCACGAGATTGGCCACGGGGCCCCCAGAAACACAAGACAACAGAGGCCTCAAAAGAGCAGAACCAGGTTGTGAGCAGAGGCCCAAGGGCTGTTCACACAATGTCCCGTTACTGATCCAGCATTACGTGACAACCTAATGAAGGTGCCTACAAATGATCACACAGGTGGAGCCAACTCCAAAGTGGACATAAGACAGTTACTTGTCCTGACACCGTACTTCAGGATCAGGTGTGCAGAATCAATCACTCTGACATCCTGTCTTGCTACAGGTGTAAGTACTGTTGGACAGGACAGGCTACCTATTCCCAAGGGCTGTTTCCAGCATCCTGCCGGGGCCAGGCTGTATTCTGAGGTGAAGAAGTTATATCCATCCTTGTGCTAATGGCTGGTGAAGGGGTCCTTGTCAACCACAAAGCTGGTGCTGGTTCCCCATGCCATTATCTCCTTGCTTTCCTTTCTCACTAGGAGCTCACTGAAAGGTAGCATAACGCAAAAAGCAAATTATTCCTTCATCTGTGGGAAGCCCTTGCACTAGGAGTCTGCACATACACTCAGCCAGAAAATAATTTAAATCCTCCGGTATAACTGTGCTAACCACGCATTCCCTCAGTTGTCAGTAAGGACAACAGCCAGCAACTTCTGTTTTTATCTGCAGGAATATCCAGGGTCATTGGTCTGTCAGCAGCTAATTAGCTGGGGTTATCCGCTCCAAGAGAGCTTGCACTGAAGAAAATTAGGACAAAATCAATACAGAAAGTACACTGGGACTGTCCATGGCTATTTCTAGTGAGTTCAGCTGTTCCACTTCCAAAGGGAGAAAAGTTTGGAAGATTTATTTGCCATTCTGAGTTATCCATTTTGTACTTTGCTTATATACCTGTTTTCTAGCAGTTCTGTAAGATTTAGTACAGCTCTGGCTGACTCGGTAGGGTCTTCGCCTCTTTCCTACTAGAACGGATTGTTACACCTTCTAGGGAATGTTGTGCCATCTCACACACCAAATCGAAAGCTTAGGTTGCCCTTAGGTTCCCCATCAACCACTGCTTCATTACACAATCTACAGTCCTTAGCTTCTGGCAGGCTCGTATATGCCATCATTACCCAAAGGCC